CTTTTTCTAAAGACACTTCTTCCACTTTTCATCTTCCTCATTCTCCTTTTCTTTCTCTTTTTTTTTATCATGTAGAACATCCATATTTTTGTAGGATTTTCTTAATTAGGTTCTCGTATTGTAAAATCTCTCAATTAGGTCCTTAAATGTGAAAAATTGGATCAATTTAGGGTTTGCCGTTATCTTGGGTGGACGACGTTAACAATTGTTGTGAAAACTCCGGAAATGGACCCCTTCCTCGATTTCGATTACTCAGACTCCTTCCCCGACAACAACTCCTGAAACGACAGTGTCGTTCCAGTTCACCTCTCTACCATGGCTTCCTCTTCCCTCCTTCTCCCACTCTCTCTCACCCTTCTCTACCTTCTCTCTGCTCCCTCCTCTGTCTACAAGTCTTCTCTCGCCCTCCCCGTTATCAAAGACCACTCCACGCACCAATACTTAACCACCCTTTCTTATGGCACCCCTGTTGAAGAGGCTAACTTTGTGCTTGATCTCGGCGGCTCCTCCCTCTAGGTTGATTGTGCTTCCCGAACCGCCTCATCTGCATCTCTTGCCATTATTTCCACCGTTCTGTTTGCTACCTCACCGCCAAGGGTCTTGAAATCGAGACTCACAGGTGGCTCTCCAGCCTCGCTAACCCTGTGGATCAAGACCAAGTGTGTCAGATTCCTGCCGAGAACACCATCACTAGGAAAAGGGTCACCGAAGGAGAGCTTGTGGAAGACCTCTTTGGACCCTCTCACCAGTTTCTCTTCACCTGCGCACCCACCCTTCTCTTGAACGGTTTGGCCACCGGGGCTAAAGGCATGGTGGGTCTCGACAGATCTCGCACCTCATTCTCGTCTCAGGTTTTTCACTCTGTTGGAACCCAGAGAAAAATCTCTCTCTGTCTCTCCCCATCTTCTGGAGTTGTTCAATTTGGGAACATGACCCAGGAATCTCAGCCCGGCTCCGAAATCCTCAAATTTCTCACCTTCACCCCTCTGCTCACCAACCCAGACCAGAACCATCCTTCCATCAATCATTTTATTTCAATAAAATTTAATTTTTAAATAAAACAAATCTAACTCAGATCACCATCAGTAAAATCTTCTAATGTCACCAACATTTTTTAACGCCCGTGCATCCGAGATAATGGTAAGCCCTAAATTGATTTAATTTTTCATATTTAAGAACCTAATTAAGACATTTTATAATATGAGGATCTAATTGAAAAAACCCTGCAAAAATAGGGATGTTCTACATGAGTAAACCTTTTTTTTCTTCTACTTTCTCGTCCTCCTTTTTCTCTGCCGTGGCTGTGTCTACCATCACTGTCGATAGTTCTTTTCCTTCTCCTTTTCTTCCTCATTGTCCTCCTTCTCCTTTTCTTCGTTGTTGGCTGCTGCTGTCTCTATTGTTGTCATTATCGCCTCCACAACTATTAGTGTTGATGTTGCCATTGTCACCTCTATTGTTATCGCTATCACCCTCTTCTTACTTGTCCTTTTCCTCCCTCTCTTCCTCTTCCTCCAACTTCTTCTTTCTTTCTTACCTTCTTCTCGATCGCAACCAATTAACTTCACCAGATTTGACAGAAAAATTAGTCCACGTTTTACTGACAAATTTATTGAGAGAATTGTGGATGAATTTTAGTAAAATGCAATTACTAACATATTTATAAATGAATTTCATAAAATTTGAATTATCGATGAATTAATTAGTTAGTTTTCAAAAAATTTAATTACCAACAGATTAAAAAAATTTATTAATTACAAATTCTGAAAAAATATCATCCATAAATTTATTGATGGATTTTACCATGATATGAAAGTTGAAAATGGAAACTTTGATTCTGATTTAAGAGAACACTTTACAATGAAAACAAATTATGAAAGAAACCGAAACTTAAATTGCGCCAAACTCTTAACCAAAGGTTGAAGTTCGGTTATAATCTCGCCGGTTCGAAATCCGGTTAAAGCCTGACACCAAACTCTCGGTTAACATTTGTAACTCATAACTTACCTCTTTCAGCGCACAACACCACACGCCACCAGAAAAGACACCACCACCGGACCACCTCCAATGGCAGATTGGGACCACCTCCAATGGCAGATTGGGACCACCACTCCAACGATCAACCGACCACCACTCCAACGATCAACCACGATAGGGACCACAATCAACCCAACAACAGACAAAAAAAACCAAAGAATAATGTTGCAAAGTGAGCATATTGCAGTGTATTTCGAAAATGTAGGGGGTGCAGGAATACATACCATATTCTTTCAATTGGTTGGTGAAAAATGAAGTAATCATTAATATGATCAATAACTTCCATTAATGCTACTGAACTGTGTGTAAGTTGATTAATATTAAAATAATTATGGGATGCGTAAGCCACATCTTTTGCATATTTTCATAAGGTTGCAGATTTTCATAAGGTTATTAAAGTAATTTTGGGGTTTATTTTTTATGTAAATAATAGTTGGTTTTTAGATTGTGTTTACATATACTGGTGAGATGTAATAAATTATTCAACACCTTTATTATGTTATTATTTCAATTTAAAAAGACAATGACAACAGAAAGAAACTTGCCATATTCTAACTTGTAATTGTAAACACAAATCAGTAATGGATGACATTTCATTTTATGATTATTGTATCTTGCATCGAAGGATTTCTTACTTTCCATAAATATATTTCTGTGACTGGTCACGTCTGTTCTTCCGTGCAACTCTCATAAATATACTTTCCATAAGTGTATGTATCAGATTTTTGTCGTATATATCTCCATTAAGCATGTGTTTTGAATACACTATTTAACGTTTTTCTCTCCCTTAATTTGACGTTCTTGAATACTAAAGCGTCTTTCCACTTTTCCAAATTTCAATTGTTGAGAAAATTTATTATAAAATTTAAGACATAAAAGTGAAGATATTTCTTCATTTTATTAACTTCTTTTAACATAACATGCATTCACAATTAACTTGATAAACACTGAATTAAAACAAAACACACTAATTAGTTTCACAGACATTAATTTGTTCAGGCAAGCTGAAACTTGACTTTGAATGGAACATCGCTTAGAGCCAAACGCTTATAGCCATTTTCATCCACAAAGATGCCAACATTCTTGCACAAGTGCTTGGAATAAGGTAACAGAGTTGGACAATAGACAATTTTATAAGCACCTTCAAACTTCTCAATCTTGAACCAGTTGCGTATGGTTCCCCAACCAGGGTTTCCCACAGAGCCACCAGTGGTCACAAACCACTGTCCTTTAGCAACATCAAAGTGGTCCAGTTTCCACACTGTCGAATACTCAGCACAACTGGTATGATCGGTGGAGAACATGATGTTCAAATCAGTGGACACACGAACAACACCTTTCTTAGGGTCAACGGGTGAGAATGACAATGGCAAGCCACGAGACCCTCCCACAAACACCACATCAAGAGGGCATGATTCACCAATGCTGGCAAGTGAAAGGCCTCCACTTTTCACGCATCTTCCGTACCTTGAGCATCCTATTAAGGGCGAAGCGGGAACAATGTAATAGCTGAGACCAACTCGGAGCTTTTTCCCTGATGTGTCAATCACTTGCTCAGGTGATGCATCTGCTGTTCCAAGTAGTGGTTGAGAGCTCAAGGAAAAGAGAAGCACAAATGCTAGCAACATGTTCTTCATTATTTATTTCTGTATAATTCGGGTAGCTTTGTTCTTTGTATTCTTTTTTGTTATTGATGGATGGACTATAATGGAGATGAGAAGTATGAATTTATAGATGTCTTTATTTAATACTAATTCCATGATTTATATGCTTATTTGTTAGTAAAATAGAAACTGTATATATTTTCTTTCAATATTTGAACAATACCATTGGCCATATCGAGTTAATATCTGAAATCATGTAGCCCTGTGTACTTACGTATTACTTACTATAGCTATGTGTAAACAGGCTTGCCATATCCGTGTTCTTTGTGGTCTTAAGCATTTTATTTGTAACTAGCTGGAATCCGTTTTTGCTTGTCTCTAGGTGATGGATAGGTTTTTAAGAGCGATAAACGTTTTCTTATTGATTCCGTGGTATGTCGCTCTTGTTATTCATGACTACATTAATTGACTTTTTCAACATGCAGCAATCTATGGGTCAATGTTTAAACATGCAGCAAAGGTTAGTCAAGATTTTAATATTATGTTAATCTTAATGATTGAAAAACCTTTATCTTTCTGCTGGCTTTGTAATTAGACGACTTTGACTTTTAATTTAATTCAATGTGAATTACAAATCTAGCTACAGTCTTATGTGACATTAAAGTGGTTCAAAGTTTCATGCAGTATTCTTAAATACATAGTTTCAAGGATATCCCAAATAAGAAGAAAAGAAGGAATTATTTGAGCTAATATACATAATTAATATCATTTAATCTATATCAATATGATATGTCGTACGGATTTTGAAAATTTTCAGTTTCAAGCCTGTCAGTGATAAACAAAGAAATGAATAAGAAATTTATATTTTTTTTCTTCAAAATGTTGTACATTTTCATATAAATAGAAAAAGGGTTAAGGTTTACAGCTATAGCATGTTTAAAAGAAAAAGTCCATTTCAGAAGCAACCTCATTGATGCTGACTAGTCCTCAGAGATTTAGACAGCGCAATCAGATTTGCTAGCAACAATTAGATATATAATTGCTACAATACAGTCTCGTGGAAAGGAATACAGGCAAATGATATTTGTTTTGGACAAAGAAAAAACAAATTAAAGCAAGCCATGGCTTAAACAGGATTAGACTTTCCGGCAGAAAATATTCAAATAATAGCAGCTAAACTTAAACTTGCTCAGTTTTAGTGAATTTCTTATGTTGATGAAAATATGGTTCCAACAGTATTAAGCAAATCAAAGATCTTATTTACATATAATTGTTGATGTTTATCGTGAACACCATGCATAAGAAGCAACCTATAAATTCATGCAAGACCATCTTCCTAAACTCCATCCATCAACCAAAATACAAGTTACTCAAAGCAGTACAAAATAAACAGTGATGAAGACAACATTGTTAGCTTTTGTCCTTCTCTTTGCCCTGATCTCACAACCACTTCTGGGAGCAGCTGAAGCCTCACCTGACGAAGTAATTGACACATCCGGCAAGCTGCTACGTGCTGGTGTCAACTACAACATTCTTCTATCGATGCCTTACAGTAATTGTAGAAGCCCACAAGGCCTTGGCCTCTCAAAGATTGGTAAATCATGCCCTCTGGATGTTGTGGTTGTGGATAGATATCATAGTTTGCCACTAAGGTTTATACCCGTTAACCCCAAAAAGGGTGTTATACGTGTCTCCACTGACCTTAACATCATGTTCCCTCCTAACATCACTTGCCCTCACCATTCCACAGTGTGGAAGCTTGATAGCTTTCAGGTTTCTAAGGGACGCTTTGTGTCCACTGGTGGTGTTAAGGGCAATCCTGGGAGGGAAACCATTGGAAATTGGTTCAAGATTGAGAAGTATGCTGGTGCTTATAAACTAGTTTATTGTCCCAGTTTGTGCCCTTCTTGCAAGGATGTTGTGTGCGAGAATGTTGGGATGTTGGTTGATGAGAAAGGGAACCATCGTTTGGCTCTAAGTGCTGTTCCGTTCCAAGTTAAATTCCTCAAGGCCTAACCAGAGTTCCTCTTGTGCACCACCAACTATGAATGTTTTCAGTGTGTTTCTGATAATGATGTGTTCTTTCCATTTTAATTTGTGAGGATATATACCCTAATTATAGGGGAATTCCTTGTTATGATGATGAATAAGTATTGAAATAATATGGACAAATGTTTTCTTCTAATTTTATATGTGGAACTGCAAAAATGTTATATAGAGGAATTGGTGAGAAGTGGAAGATTGAACTCAAATTTTCTTGTTTGAAAATGCCAAGTACTTATAGGTACTAATGAAGAGATCTAGACTCTCTTCTAAGAGCTTCTTTAATTAAAACTCCACTATATAGAATTTTCTACATCCTTCACTAATAAATGCTTTCTAGATTTTCTAAACGTCATTTTAGATATTTCTACATTTCAAATTACAATAATATTTCTCCCTCTTAATTTGAATTTTTCTTCTACACACTAATATTTGTTCTTAGTCTTTGATACTTTCCAAATTTTAATAGGTTCGTGAAGATATTTGTAATTTGATCTTGAGTATTGACTTTCTGAGCCTCACTCCCTTTCTAACAATGAATTATCTTATGAAATTATGTCTTATGCCTATATGCTTGTTTCGATTATCAAATACCAACTTCTTCGTCAATGCTTGTGGAGACTTGTTGTCTATGTAAATATTTGTAGCTTTCACTCGCGTTTTGTGTTTAATTTTGAATTCTTAATTAATTTTTTTCCTTAAAAGATTATTTTAATTAACATTTAATTATAATTGAATTTATTGAACATGAGTAACAAAAATATGTTAAAAGTAATTTTTTATAGATGCATAATTTTTTGTTGTTGCCATTATTAGTGCAGCTGTAGCTAAGTTAAGCTAATAGAGATATGAAAATAAATTGATTAAAGATTTAGGATAACTTAAAGATAAAACCAATAATAAAAAATAATCAAAATCACAAAAAATCTAGCAAAACATTGCATGAAAAAGGTAAGAAAAAATATGAAAAAGTGAAGAAAATTTGATTGGACCTTGATTAAAGAAAAGTGAAGAAAAAATATGAAAGGTTGTACCTAAGTTAACCAACACCACGGACCCTTGAGCATGTTCATTAAGCCACTTCATTATCCAACTTAATATTCTCCGTTAAAATGACGCTCTTGAATTCTTAACAGTGTTTCTCCCCTTTTTTTCAAATTTCAATTCCTAAGCTGCAGATGACAAAACGAGACGAATAGTAGGGCTATATTCACAAATATAAACCATTTACCCAGACCAAATTTACTGTAAAAACTTAAGACATAAAAGTGAAGATGCTTAAAGTCAAAATTAACCTTATAAAAACTGAATTAAAGAAAACACTCTTATTAGTTTGTGATCAGACATTAGTTTTTTCAGGAAGCTGAAACTTGACTTTGAACGGAACATTGCTTAGAGTCAAACGCCTATAGCCTTTTTCGTCCACAAAGACGCCAACATCCTTGCACAAGTGCTTAGAAGAAGGAACAGTTGGAAATCCAAGTGTGAATTTAAGTCTCACATTGAATAGAAATGAGAAAGTAGAGCATTGTATAAAGATGAAAGACCCATTAACTAATTGTCTTAAGGTTTTTGGTTCTTATATAGTTAATTCAGATCTCATTGTGTTGTATTTCTTCGGTGAACCTCCTCTTTGTTAGACCCAATGGTACCTGGCAAAGGGTATACAGATAAGTAAGTCTCGTTAATGATGGATGGACCATACTGGAGATGCGAAGTCTGAATTTATAGATTTCTTCCTTTCATATTAATTCCACCTTTTGGATTCTTTGTAGTTAGCACCATAGAAATAGTTTATATTTTCTTTAAGTAATTCAACAATACAATTGGCCATATCAAGTTGATAATTAATTGATCTGAAATCATGTAGCCATGTGCATCTATATGCTTACTATGTGTAAACATGGTTGACATTAATGTTCTTTGTGGTCTTAGGTTTTTATTTACAACTAACTGGAAACCAACTTTTGGTCTACTCTAGGCGATGGATAGGTTATGCAGAACGATAAATGCTTTCTTGTTGATTCTATGGTCTGTTCGCTCATGTTGTTCATGACTAGATAAGTTGACTTTGTCAAAATGAGTAGGTAGCCCAATCTGTGAGTTAATGTTTATAGATATAGTTCCACGGATATTCTAAAAGAGATAAGAAGAAAAATTGAGATAAGATGAATAATGCGATGAGTAAATAATATTTGAGAAAATATTAAATATCATAACATAACTTTTTACGCACTTTTAAATTCTTAAGTTTCGAGGCTCAGTAATAAACGAAGAAATGAGTCTATAAGAAATATATAGTTTTCTTAAAAAAAAAGTGATATTTTGCTATATACAGCGAAAAAATAGAGTTCAGGGCACCGTGCATGTTAAAAAACAAAAGTGCATCTAAGAAACAAGCTCATTGATGCTGACTAACCGCGTTTATAGTCCTCAGAGATTTAGACAGAGCAACCAGATTTGAAAGCAAACCATTGGATGCTATAATTACTACAATACAATCTCCTCGAAAGGAATACTGGCAGAAGATAATTTTTTTGGGAGAAAGTAGAAACATATGAAAGCAGGCCATGGCTTAAACAGGATTCGACTTTCCCGCAAAAAACATTCAAATAATAGCAACTAAACATAAATTTGCCCAGTTTTTTAGTGAATTTCTTATGTTGATGGGTCCAACAGTATTAAGCAAATCAAGGATTTTAGTAATATAAATGTGGATGTTTATCCTGAATCCCATGGATAAGAAGCAGCCTATAAATTGATGCAAACCATCTTCCTAAACTCCATCCATCAACCAATATACAAATTACTCAAAGCATTACAAAATAAACAGTGATGAAGACAACATTGTTAGCTTTTGTCCTTCTCTCTGCCCTGATTTCACAACCACTTCTGGGAGCATCTGAGGCTTCACCTGATGAAGTAGTTGACACATCAGGCAAGCTGCTACGTGCTGGTGTCAACTACAACATTCTTCTATCCATGCCTTACGGCAAATGTAGAATTGCACAGGGCCTTGGCCTCTCAAAGATCGGTAAATCATGCCCTCTGGATGTAGTGGTTGTGGACAGATATCATAGTTTGCCACTAAGGTTTATACCTGTTAACCCCAAAAAGGGTGTTATACGTGTCTCCACTGACCTAAACATCATGTTCCCTCCTAACATCACTTGCCCTCACCATTCCACGGTGTGGAAGCTTGAGAGTTTTAAGGTTTCTAAGGGACGCTCACTCTCGTTGGTGTCAACCGGTGGTGTTAAGGGCAACCCTGGTCGGGAAACCATTGGAAATTGGTTCAAGATTGAGAAGTACGGTGGTGCTTATAAACTGGTCTATTGTCCGAGCGTGTGCCCTTATTGCAAGCATGTTGAGTGTGAGAATGTTGGGATGTTTGTTGATGAGAAAGGGAATCACCGTTTGGCTCTAAGTGCTGTTCCATTCCAAGTTAAATTCCTCAAGGCCTAACCACAGTACCTCTTGTTGTGCATGAACAACTAAATGTTTAACTCTTTCTTATAATAATGTGTTCGTTCCATGTTAATTTGTGAGGATACCCTAATTATAGGTGATATCCTTGTTATGAAATAAATAAGTACTCAAATAAATGGACAATTGTTTTCTTCTAATTTGTATGTTCTTATTTTACGAGTGTATATGATAATTTCCAAACATAGAATAGCCACGCCTTTAATTACATTCCAAAAATGCTTTATTACCACTGCATAATTCTGCACTAGGATGATCCTGTGACTGTGTTGATTATTGATCACTTCTAAGCCATTCATTCCATTCACAATTCACAAGTTATATCTTTGTCCTCCATTGATTTTCATTCAACAATTTTTTACATGGCGCTTGATATTAAATAGTACAAAATTTATAAACATAAGGAAATTTATTAAGAAAATTTTATGTATAGTAAAGATGAGTAACAGTACATTTGTATATTAATAATTATTAAAGAAGTGACTATATATATAGATATATATATACATATATATATATATTAATTAATTAATGGTATCCCTGCAGGAAGAGGGAGTATGATTAATGTTCCTATCCTCGTACTGGCAAGGGGTTTATTGTAAGAAAAGTTTGAGGTATTTGTTCATTAATATTTTTGTTACATTGATCACTTATCAAAGTAAAACATCATGTTATAAAATAGAAGCATGGTATTGAATCTAATTCATGAATAGGTATTGTGTTTAAGTGCACAGTTACTTTTTGTCTTTTAGATGTCTAAGATAGTTATGTCTTCCCTTATTGGATAAAATAATTTAGAAATGAGAAAAGTAACCATACAAATGAAAACAGAGATAAAACTTGACAGGCAGAAAATGCATCAAATCTTAATCAATCATAGTTTTGGGATTTGAAAGGAAAATTACAATGCAAAACTAAATAGAGTGGTGATACTCAGGTTGGGTTGTTTGTGAGGTTAGATAAAATTAATAATACAAAGCAAGAGAACAACATAAAGGAACCTATAAAAAACTTGCATGTCAACATTAAACCTCTTTCACAGAAGGGTTGTGATTGGGAAGTGTTGAGGTGATTGTCTTCATTTGTGTTTGCATAAGGATCATCATATCGAATGTCCTCCATGCTGCTGTTTTCCTCTTTTACAACATGGATTCCGATTATTTTAATGAGGGAACTCTCTATCAAACCTTCATATGTGATCGTCACCTGATTCCATTCCTTTTCTAAAGACACTTCTTCCATCAGATCATCATCAGTGGAGAAATGTGAGTGTTGTAGATCAAAGAGATGTGTATAATCTGATTCCAACATCTTCACTTGTCTGTTCAGATAATGTAACAAATATTGTTTTCTAACTCTGCCATTGATGAACATAATGTATCTAACCAATCCTGTCACGTTATCACCCAGTACAGGTGCAATAAGAAGACAAAGAACTTTGGCAGGGAATTTATTTCGAAACCAGAAAGAAATTGAAGGTTCCTTCCTCTGTTTATGGAACCACTCTGGAATACTTCCTCCTGGAAAGATAAAATCAGTCCCTCCAGCCTCGTGAAGCTGCTGTTAATCATAATTTATCAAAAATTCATTAAATGAACTACATATTATCAAATCAAATTCATTAAAAACATGACAAAACCTGATTTAACAGCATGCTTGAACCCGTGGAAGTCAAGGATGTACAGTTTATTGCCCTGAAATATTTCAAGTTTGGTGGAACCCCTCTAATTTCCTGAAGATGCTTGCAATCATTCACATCGAGAGAAAATAGGCTGTGAAATTCTTTGATGCATTCAGGAAGGAATGTGACATTACTTTCCCTTAGCCTCAAATGACTCACTTGAGCTAACTGCTTGAAACTTGCTGAAAAAAAATCATCATTCAAGTTGCAAGATAAAACCCAAAACATATGTATCTTTGGAGATACCATTGAACCCTCTTTTTCTTCACCCTCTTGTGATTTTACCCATTGCCACCCCTTGCCTTTATGAACTCTAAAATCAGACAGTTCAGGCGTCAAGACAGTGCTACTTAACTGAACAAAATCACAGCTCATCTCTAATTCTTGTAGTCCAGTAAGATTATGAAATGAAACAGGCAAGTTTTTTATGGGAAGTTCAAACAAACTAAGTTTCCTTATGTTTCCCATCTTTCCTAATATTTCTGGAAAATTCTCAAGACTTGAACAATATGAAAGTTCAAGTTGTTCAAGAGAGGTCAAGTTGAGAGGTGGAAATCTCCTAAGCTTCTTGCAACCTTTAGATTTCAATATTTTAAGTTTATTCAGAAAACCAATTGAGTCGTGAACTACTATTAATCTCCCACACTTTTTAAATGAAAGTACTTCCAAATTTAAGAGATCAGACAAGTTAGGTATCTGCGTTAAATAATTGCACTTGTCAAAATTCAAGACGGTTAGATTCTCCAACTTCTGCAAAGAAAATAATGGAGAAAAGGCATAAGAACCGATTGAATACATTTGAAGTGTATTCATCAATTCACAAGATAAAGAATTTATTCTCTAAACTTGCCTTTGATGAACCATGAAACCCAAATGACGTAAAAGGACTGTGAGGTAACTTGCATATCACAAGTTTTCTCGGATCAAAATTTGATGGTAAACAATTTGAAGGATATCGATGCCATTCCAGTACTTTCAAACTTTCTGGAAAATAATTGGGACCTTCAGAAAATTTACCATTTCTTATGATAAGTATTTTAAGGTTTTTCATCTTTCTGAAGGCATTTCTATTCCAGTGTATCGTTTCTTCTCTCTTAGATATGGAGATATCTAGACAGATGATATCAATTTTACCAGTTCCCTGTTAATGCAAAGAGGCACAAATCAAGAGGTTATTAGTTATATGTAAGTAATCAATTCACGTGTAGAGAAATTTATAAATTGTCAAGAAAAAGAAAAATTATGATATGAATATATGATAAACGAAAAAGACATATCAATTTGAGAAACAAAACAAACAATCCATGAGTCTCACTTACCGTGTTGTATTTTAAAACTTGAATTATATCTTTTGGTAACCATAGCCTCTTGTGTTTTCCTGGCTCTTCAGGTGATTCATGTTGGTCAATTTGTCTACCCATAGCATGAATCAAGTCGTGCATTTCGACCGTACTACTCTGACTAATCTTTATGAGAGATTTTTCAACCAACACACTAATATGATGTTTCATGCTGTCATCATAAAGAGCACGAAGCATATGTTCAATCTCTGTCAATTTACATCCTTTCAAGCAACAGGCAATGTCAAGAAAAACATTTTTCTCTTCTCTTCCCAAAGTATCAAAACTTACTTTAAGTATCTTTAGGATTTCATCACTAGGAATTCTTTTGTAATGTTCAATAGCAGAATCCCATTCTTCTACACTTTTTCCAACCAAGTTGGAACCTATTACTTCCAAGGCCAATGGAAGGCCAGAAGCATAAGTTACTGCACGATGCAAAACTTCCTGATAACTTGGATCAGCCTTTTCCCTCTTAAAATTTTTCCATGTTAGTAATTGAAGAGCATCATAATAGTTCAATTTATTCACAACATAAGTTCTTTTAACGTCATAAGATGTCAGAAGATGTTGGTCCCGAGTGGTAATGATGACTCTGCTACCGGGACCAAACCAATTACATCTGCCAACAAATGTCTTTAATTGCTCAATCTTGTCAACATCATCTAGAATCAAGAGAACCTTCTTTCGCCTCAGCCTCTGCTGTATCATTGATGCTCCTTCTTGCCAACTTGTTAAGATGATATTCTTCTGTCTTAGGATTTTCGAAAGAAGGATGCTTTGGAGGTGTTTTAGCCCATATTTGTTTGATTCTTCTCTCACATTTTGAAGAAAACACGATTCATCAAAATTAGCAGCAATCAAATTATAAACTGCCAGAGCAAGTGTTGTTTTTCCTATCCCACCCATTCCATGGATCCCTATCACAACACCATCATGAGATCCTAAATCCAAAAGCTTCTTTACCTCTTGGACTTTTGACTCTAGTCCCACTAGGTAATCATCCACAGGTAAATGAACACTGCTAATCTCCCTAGAGACCCGCTCAACAATCCTCCCAATAAACTCGTGTTCATATTCATTTCTGTTCAAACAAAAAGTTAAATGATACGTATATCAATTGACAAGGTTAACAAGTATTTCTTTTCTTTTCAGAATTTCAAGTTAAATCGTTAGACAAGTAAAACTAACCACATATATAAATTACAAGGTAGTATGAAAAGTAAGACAAGTACCCATGTTTGAAATGATAACCAGAGAGATCAGCCACTTGTTGGAGAGCCATCTTCCATTTCTGCAACTTTTCAGCTTTGAATCTTTTCTGATGCTTAGCTAATGCTTCCCCATAAGTACCTTTCTGGTGTCTTACATCTGAAGGGTCCATCATATAAAAGACTGGTATGACCAACAGCCCTTTTGTCCTGCAGTCAAGGATGGTTGTAAGTTCATCTAAGCAAAACGAGGAGGAAGCATAGTCTTTAGAGAGCACAGTGATGCCAATCCTGGACTCTTCAATTGCATTCAAAAGAGCAGGTGTTATTTCCTCTCCGCTCTGAAGCTTCTCATCATCAATGAAAGTGTGGATTCCCTTGTCATCAAGGGCTTTGTAGAGATTGCCAGTGAAACCGTGACGTGTGTCTTCGCCTCTGAAACTGAGAAACACCTCATAGATGAAGGAAGAGGAACATGATCGCAAAGCCATGAGGACCCAGAAGAAAGGCTACTATGAGTATGGATGGAGAATGGATTCCAGAATCAATCAAGAATGAAAGATCACTTTGTTTCAATTGAAACTTTGATTAACGTAAAATAACCAATTCAACTAAGCTTGATACTGCAATCAATAACATAAAATTGTTTTCAAATGTATTAGTCTTCTGGATCCACCGTCCTTCGGCTATAAAATCAACATTAATAAACGTCCTCTTATACCTTTTGAAGTAGTATATAATTTAACAACAATATAAATTTCATTGAATTGGCCAAAATCGTTGACCTTATCCTTTATGCATAAATTATACAAGTCTATAATAGAGAAACATTGAACCATAAATTGAATCTTTCAGGCTACTAAAATCCCAACACCCACGTAATTCAGAGTAAACAAGTTACTAAACCGTGAAGTTTATCTATCTTTTATTTGCAGTTCTCCTTTTTTTTTCTGCAGCCAGCCAACCCTCAGTTCTTTTCACCCTTTTCTCTCTGCTTTCTCTTTTTTCTTGTTGTGGAGAAAAAATTCTCAAAGGAAGTTGTTTTTGATATGCATATCAGGTAGCATTGTATTACAAGATGTAGTGAGTCCACTGTGTGGAAGTTTGATGCTTTTAATGATTTAACTAGACAGTGGTTTTAAGAATATGATGATGATTACAATCTCGTGTTCTGCTCCAAACTGTGCAACTTTTGCAAACCTTTGTGAAAGAATCTGAGAGTTCAGTAGTAAGGGGGACCGACAAAATTATCATGGACAAAAAGAAAATCAAATTTAAAGATCTAAAATTCAAATAAATACATATTAAGCAAGGATAAATATTGTAAATATTTACTTAATATCTTTTTTGTTTAAATTAGTTTTTAGGAAATATTTAAATTTTAAAATATCTTCCAGTTTTTAGAAATTAGTTATTATTTAGAAATTTAAGATTAAGATATTGTAAATATTTAATATTTTTTTACTTTTATTTTATATATATATAT